GGACAGGGAGTTTAAAACATCCCCCCTGACAAGGGAATTCCTTTTCCTTCTTGCTTTCCATGGATAATCCCCAGATCCTCAAGTTTCCCTGCACAGAGTTAATCCTTTACACCCTGGGAGAAGATCCATATTATAAAATTTCCAACCTAGTTGGAGGGTGTATCCAGGCTGGAAATGGGAATTATCCCGGCTCAGCTGATGGACAATAATTTGTGATTGTTTTCCGAGCCCTGATATCCCATTTCCCCTCTTTTTTCCTGCCCTCCTGGGCCCAAATCCTGCTCCAAACCCAGCACCCTCCAGTCTGACCCTCTCCTGGTGGATGGAGGGAACGCTCTCCTTGGAAAAACCCAGAGCCAGGACACCAACAGCCCTAAAAAGGGACCAGGAAAAAATATCCCTGGAATGTTTCCCGGCAGCTGCTGGCACATTATTTTTTTAGGAATAGCAACTCCAAGCGTGGCGAGTGAATCTCGCTCTGATTCAGGGAATCTGGGAAACACTCGATCCCGTTCCCATCCCTTCCTACTTTTCCTGCCTCTGCCAGTTCCGCTCGGAATTCCCGGAGCTGGAATGAGGGAATGTTCCTTCCAGCGGCCACAAGAGGGCTCCCGGCACAAACACAAACACACCGCGGCCGTGCCAGGAGCATCCAGAGCTTTGTTTTCCCTCCTGGATCCAGCGTTTCCCTTGGCTGGGGATGGTTGAGCTGGAGAGAGACCTGGAAGTGAAGGGGATGGAGCCTAAACCTCCTAATTTCTTGGAATCATGGAATGGTTTGGGTGGGAAGGGGCCTTAAAGATCATCCACTTTCAACCCGAGGGACACCTCCCACTATCCCAGGTTGCTCCAATGCGGCCTTGGACACTTCCAGGGATCCAGGGGCAGCCACAGCTTCTCTGGGAAACCCATTCCAGCCCCTCCCCACCCTCCCAGCCAGCAATTCCTTCCCAATATCCCATCTCTCCCTGCCCTCTGGCAGTGGGAAGCCATTCCCTGTGTCCTGTCCTTCCAGGCCTTGTCCCCAGTCCCTCTCCAGCTCTCCTGGAGCCCCTTCAGGCCCTGCAAGGGGCTCCAAGGACTCTGTGGCCCCATTTGGAACTGGAATTTGGGGCTGGGCTCTGCCAGGAGCATCCAAAACTTTGTTTTTCCTCCTGGATCCAGCATTTCCCTTGGCTGGGGATGGTTAAGCTGGAGAGAGACCTGGAAGCACAGGGGATGGAACCTAAACCTCCTAATTTCTTGGAATCCTGGAATGGTTTGGGTTGGAAGAGACCTTGAAGATCATCCAGTTCCAACCCCAGGGACACCTCCCACTGTCCCAGGTTGCTCCAACCTGGCCTTGGACACTTCCAGGGATCCAGGGGCAGCCACAGCTTCTCTGGGAAATCCATTCCAGCCCCTCCCCACCCTCCCAGCAGCAATTCCTTCCCAATATCCTATCTATCCCAATATCCTCTGGCACTGGGAAGCCATTCCCTGTGTCCTGTCCCTCCATCCCTTGTCCCAAATCCCTCTCCAACTCTCCTGGAGCCTCTTCAGGCCCTGCAAGGGGCTCTCAGCTCTCCCTGGAGCCTTCTCTTCTCCAGGGGAACATTCCCAGCTCTCCCAGCCTGGCTCCAGAGCCAGAGGGAATCCAGCCCTCAGCGCGTCTCCGGAGCCTCCTCCGGACTCTTTCCAGCAGCTCCACCAGCAAATCCCAGGATCCTCATTTTCTCGGGAACTTTGTAACACTGAAACAACCCCCCCAAGTTTTTTAGGACACCTCAACCCCCCCCCAGCACGGCGGGATCTGCACCCCAGGGGTTGGTGTGGAACCCCCTTTATCCCGAGGAGGAAGAGGAGAAATCGGGATCCCAAGGCAGGGAAACAGCGGGAATGAGCCGGAGCCGGTTGTTTTCCCGGCAGCAATCCCGGATTTTACCTGTTCAAAGGTTCCTGGGGCCCTGGCAGCCCATAAAAACCCTGGAGCTTCATCCCACGGGATGCAATTTGTGCCTGACAGGAGTTCATCAGGGAGGGAAATGAAGGGCTGGAAAGGGCGGGATGAGCCCAGGAACGGATCCTTGAATATTCCAGGATCACCCCCCCAACAATTCCAGCCTCCCCCATCTCCCACCTGCTCCTTTCCAAACTTAATTCCTATGAATTCCCCTTCATTTCCCTCCCTTTCTCTTGCTCTTTTTCCTCTTTCTTCTTTCTTACCATAAACATTTTTCATTTTACTCCC